GTAATATTTTAGTAATAGTAATTCTAGTTGAGTTCTTGATAGTTAATCATCTTATTAAAATATATGTTATAAGAATATATATTATTGTATACTTCTTTATATTATTTTTACTTCGTGTTACTTCATAGCTTACGATATGTAAGCAGATTTAGTTTGTAAAAAGGCAGAGTATAGTAGGTATAATTTGTTTGCTATTCCACAACTATATTCCTAATCCTGTAAGCTTAATCTCTTTTATTATGGAAAGATAAAACCAACGTGTGGGTCATTTGGCCACGAAGAACGTTCTTATCTAAATTTGATACATTTCATCATTATTAAAATTTACATATGCTTTGGGAGAACTCTGGTTTTATAATGAATCTACAGAAATCATATTTGATAAGGAAAACGTATTTCAAATGTTAACAACAAGTAGTTACTTTTATCTATTATATTTGATTAATTTTGTATTCACAATGCTATACTGAGATATCGACTTTGTCCCTGGCTCTCTATGATGGGACTCAACCTATGACCTTTCGCGATCTAGGCGACTGCTATAACTTGAGCTACCCAGGACCTAACAGGACTGACGAATTCTTCAAGCACTTGTCTCTTTTTCTTTACTATAGAGCCTATTTTCATCGATGTTCAGGCTAATCTACCCAAACAGCTGAAAGAAATCTTTTTACAAATATTTAAACTTACAATAACGTCACAGTATACAATTTGCAAGTGATTTTATTATTTTACTCCTTAGGTCTCCGTGTTTTAAAATTTTGGGCGCCCATATTTGAGTCACCGACTTACATATGATATCAAAGAATTCAATTCGTCTTATTATAAAATGGGGATCAAAATAAGTACTTAGTTTAAACCTGGTACTAAAGTTGGTCCTCGTTTTACGTATAGGTATAATAGTTTCCAACCAAACTTGCTATTCCAAAGGGACAGACAATTAGGTGATTTTATAAGAGCTCCTTTCGATGTACAGAAACTCAAACAACATTTGAAATACGTAAAGTATCTTTCTTCAAATACGATAATAAGCCACACAAGAAACGCTACAGCACGAGCGAAAAATCTAGAGAGTAAACATTATAAGCTAAATAGACGAACATTCCAACTTCATAATAGGATTCAATAAGTCCCAGTGGGAGTTCCAGGATAGTCCCAGCGAGTCGATAGTTGAAACCAATAAAATGTAACCGCGAGCGAATCGAATGTATCGCTATAGTCGGCTCTAGGGTTGTCACAACGCTGTTTTAAATTATAACACATTTTGAAATGATATCGACGATGTGGTGATTAACGCATATACGGTTGCAGTAATAAAGCAATATTGGCACGGGATGGGTGACCATTTTTTTTAACTTTGTTTCGAAAGACTATCAAAGCCGTTAGTCCCGGCTGCATCTTCATTCGTTATCTTCTTTGAAATCTCACTGGGTCCGCATTGTGGAGTTATGGTCTGATATTACTATGACTTAGGGGAAGCCTGTATAAGTTAGTTTGGAAATTAGGGATAATAATTGGCTGATGACGTAAAGTTCTTTATAGGGGATAAAGATTGTCTTTATTATTAACGCTTGATAATTACGTTGTATTGAAGTTTTATATAACTAACTTTGTATTCATCATAAGTTAAAATGGTTTTAACTAAATAGCAACTATTCTATTCTGTTTTGATTTAAAAAAATATTTATTTCGTACGAACTGCATCTTTGCATCTAGCTCAAGTTGGACAACTTCCTTTAGTATAATATTCATCAAGTTGTTTATAATTCTAACATATTTATTTTATTTATAAGTGATTGACCGAAGAATCCTAGTAAAATAATTAATCATATATTTATTTATCAGAGAAACGAAATCGTAAGGGTTTGCGTGCTTAATAATATTTTAAATTCCAATAAAACTTGTGGTGACCCTAGTCTGCACTTATCTGAAGCTCAATCTCTTAATATGTTGTTCAAACAGCAGGTAAATACGATTTGGGATAAAAATTTTAACAATAACAATATAAAGAGAAATATTTATTGACAACGAAATATCGTATATGATTAAAATTGAACGAAATTCATTGTATTGTATATTGTTATATGAAAATATTAAATTTGCACTAACAACACCTGACTGAGATAAGTAATAGTATAATAATCAGCGTTTTATTTTAGTACAGCTGTGGCCGATGGTAGGTAACTCATAAATTTAATAAAAGTCATTCTCATCATAATTATCATCAGCCCTTTTACATGCCTACTGCAGGGATTCAGATCTTCTTTATGGTCCCGCTGGCCCAATGTAGATTGGAGGATATTAATGACAGTAAATTCAGCCGGGACCAACAGCTCAACGTGCTTTCCAAAGCACGGAGTAGCTCGAGATAATAATTTTTTGGTCATCCATCCCATAAGCGATCCTTGCGAAAGTTGCTTAACACAACAATCGAGGGCCGCTGCGTTTGAACACTACACCACCGAGCTACACAAATAATAATACTAAATAACAGTATCTAATGGCAATTCAATGAGCTAACGTGGTATAAAAAGTAGAGATATCGAGCGACCGAGCCTTTGATCTTCAAATGTGAAAGCCTCAAAAGGTGTATGTCACAAATACATTTGAAAAAGGCGGTTTGCAGTGCATAAGCGTTTGCCAGTTTTAGGAACGATTTCTTTGATTTGTTACGGCTGGAGTATTTTTTTATATTCACTTTTCCGATTATTCGATATTCCGGTTTTATTTGATTATAAATTTTTATGTATTTGATTTTATTACAGAATAATAAAGAAGTAAAAATACGTTGTTTATTTAATTTAATACTTGTACTTTAAAATGAAATTGATTTAATAAAGCTGTGACATCAAATTTTCTTTGATTATTTTGATTAATTTTGCATTCACAATGCCATACCGAAAATTATTATTAATACAAAATGCTTAAAAAATCCACTTGGTCCCTGGTACCCTGAGATGGGAATCGAACCCATGACCTTCCGCAATCCGGGCGACTGCTCTAACCGCTGAGCAACCCAGGACCAAACAGGACCGACTAATCTTTCAAGCACTTGTTACTTTTCGCTACTACAGTGCGTATTCTCATCAATGTGTTATTTCAAATAAAGAAATCAATTTTAGATATATAATATTTGGGTGTGAAATTAATCAATAAGCATATTTAAGACCACAATATACTATTTTAACCAATAATGACTTTGATAATTAATTAATTATTATTTCAACACTTGAAAACTCACGTATTTTAAAAAACGAAAATTGTTTTAAAAAGCTGAAATTTATATGTGTGCTTATAAGCTAAAAATTCTTAATTTCATATATATTGAATAAGCCAAGGCACTTCCTGTATATACTTCTGGCAGTTCAAATTGATACATTAACAGATCATATCTATTTCTTAAAAGCTCTTTCTTTCTTGATATATACTCTTAATTTTATTAAAAAATATATATATATATATAACTAGGTTCTCAATAATTTTGTACGTATTTTAACAAACATTGGAAAGTAAGTTTAAAGTTCATTTTTATCATATTGGCACAAGCACAAAACGCGGTCACTACAGGCGAATATATTCGGACAACAATGGCTTAACTGTTGTATAAAAGATAACATAGGCAGTAATTTTTAAAACAGTGTTAAAGTATTAACCGTAGTTTATTATCAAGATAGTGAATTAAACAAACTGTCCCTATATGAAGGGAAAATTTAGTGTTAATAAATATTGGATAACGTCACATATATTGCTCAGATCTAAATTAAGCAGCTTTTAAGCACTGGTCTTAAGAGAATTCATAACAACGAAGATTCTACACGTCTAGAGCCGACACAATAGTTCAAATTTTATATTTAGTAAAAAGTATTGAAAACTCTAAAAATGTGTTAAACCTCCTTTCAAAATGTTCGTTAGTCTTCGTAGCTTGTTTTATTATACACAAACACATCAGGTGCGATGAACTTTCATTTCAAATGAAAAGTTTCAAGTACTTTATTTTTAAAACTATTTTGTTAGTATCTACTACAGCAAAGGAATATCGTTATGAAAAAAAAAACTGGAATATACTTCTATTTTTTCGAACACTGTATTTAAAAATATTGTATTAATAATTCATCGAAATCAAAGAAAATAAAGGAACCTATTATTATTTTTAAGCAGATTTTTTCATCCAATTATTGCTTATCGAAAGACGGTTGATTGACGTCGACAGATGATTGATCGTCTAATAAGCAACGACATCATTGGACATTCAACCATATTTTTTTTTGTAAATATATTGTGAAAATATTATGATTATGTTAACTACCATTATCTACCTTTATATATTTTTTACACATTAAATAAGAAATGCCTGAATAACAGATTTGTTGGAATGTCACCATCTCTGATAAGGTCAATAAAGAAAATGATTTTTCTATGTCTTGAGTGTAGTTGTGGTACCTTCGCTGTTGAAGATACTCCATAATACGAGGGCTTTGTCCACTTGACTCAGTTGAAACAATGTGCATGATGATATTTAATATTAATTATTACTTTTAAAATTTATGTAGTAGCCATTACTCATGACGAGTACAATAAACAATAATAACACATTATACATTGCAAGACGATAAAATTAACCTCTTAAATTACGCGTAACAAGGCGCAGCACCCTACCCCAGAACACAGAACAACTCCCACTAATTCTCCACAAATGTATGCAAAGGAGTTAAATGTGTCTCGTAACTGAGTTGAAATATGACATAATTATCGCGATTTAGTCGTCAATTACCAGCAGCGCTGTGTCGCTGCGTAAATCGAGAACTCAAGCTATCACGATAATAATTCCACTCATTTACAACAGAAATTGTAATGGTATTTTGTTGGGAATGTCGTTAGTGGGAATTTAGGTGGCTCGTTATCGTGGCGGCGTCGTCCGAGGGGGGGGATTTTAATGCTTATTTATTGAAAGGCCACTGTCTTCGCGGCTAGTGGAGTTATTTTCTTGTGGGATCATTGTGTCAGCGCAGAGCGTGTTTTATGCGGCCGGGGGTCGTTCCGTTGAGCCGCAAGAGGAACAAACCTATGCGAAAGGATTCACCCGCTATTCCGCCGGAGTTATATACTTGTAATCATTACTTTATATCGCATTGCAAATAGGGTGACAAAAGTGAGGGTGAGGAGGCCTTTATTGGTGAGTTTGTAAAGGTCTCCACATGTTCTGTGATTGAAAGAGGGTTGAAAAGGTAAAGGTAAGTTAGACCGGACGTTTGATTATAATAAGTATCTGGATCATAAAAGAAAATCATTATAATTCAATGATATTAATATGTCTAGATACGCAATACATACCAAAAATCTGAAGCTACTAAAACTAAGACGTTTGTCTTAGTTTTTTCGTTTTCCACTTCAATACTCATTCAACTCCCGCCGAGAAAGTACAAAAAAATGCTCCGCAAAAACGAAGAAAAACAGTGGATAATATACGATTCTTTCTCACAAGTACACATAATACGAAATAATATTAAGTTTCACACTTAAGTCATTAACATTTTTGCCAATAAAATCAAAATTAAAGCAAGTTTATAAAATAAATATATTTAATTTTTTAACAAATAATAATTTGACATTTTGTCATCAGTGTTGCCACTGCTATTCACTTTCTATTTTCCTAACTATATGGGAGCCTTTTTTTTATTTTACGTGGCTATAATTTATCTAAATATCTTCTTTTAATTGATTATATGGCTTAGCTTAGCTTTAGTATAGGCAACTGCGCAAACTGTGTTGCTAATTTTATCATACACGCACACAGATGCAAAAGTGGTTTAATTTTTTAAAGTTAATTTAATTTTGTCAAGGCGTGGAATTCGTTAGTTGTCGAGATACAACTTTTGAAAATACGTAAAACTGAATCTTTGTTTAATGAACTTTGACAAATGTTTTTGTCTTAAACACGATTCGATTTATATGCACAGAGCCTACTTTCGTGATTGTTTTTTTTCAAAGAAATTTTCAAAGTTACAGTATTCATTACATATATCTAATTGATTTTATACGAGGGTCAAACTGAAAGTTCTTAGAAAATCAAAAACTGATTACATTAGCCAGTTATTAGTTTTATTATATCTTTTCAAAATATTGTCCATTCACGTCAATACACCGCTGCATGCGATGGAACCACTGGGAAAAGCACTTTGCCCACTCGTCCTTAGGGGTCTCTTCAATGGCATCGCGATACGCAGCCACCGCTTCTTCAGCATTCATAAACCGCTTTCCTTTAAGTTTTTCTTTAATTTTTGGAAATAAATAAAAATCACAAGGCGCGAGGTCGGGGCTATACGGCGGGTGACCCAGTAATTCAACGTTTGATGTCGCCAAATAGTCGATCGTTCGCTTGGCGGTGTGCGACGAGGCGTTGTCGTGGTGAAGGAGGATCCTACTGCGAGGTCGTTTCTCTCGAACTTTTTCCAAGACAAGTGGCAAACAATTGGTAGTGTACCATTCTGCAGAAACTGTTTTTTGATCTTCTAACACAATTGTTGCAAAATGACCTATCCTTCCAAAGAACGAGGCCACCATTTTTTTCCCGCACTTCGATCTCTCTTCACTTTAGTTGGCAACTCCTCGAAAGGAAACACCCACTGAGCAGATTGTCTTTTGGTTTTAGGATCATAACAGTAAATCCAGCTTTCGTCACCTGTTAGTATGTCGAACACAGCATTTGAGTCACCTCCGTTAAATCTTTCAATCATTTTACGACACCAATCCACACGATGGAGTTTTTGAGCCTCAGTCAAATTATGAGGTATCCACCGGGCGCAAAGCTTCCTGACCGCTAAATGTTCGTGGAGGATTTTGTGCACTTGACTCATACCGATGCCTAAGCTTGTCCGAATCTGTTGATAGGTCACTCTTTTGTCAGTCTCTATCATACGCCGCACAACACAGATGTTATCTTCAGTCGTCGCCGTAGAAGGCCGTCCCTCACGTAAATCATCAGTGAGATTAGTGCGACAACGTTTAAACTCATTAAACCAGTTGTAAACAGTCGCACGAGATGGGGCTTTATCGTGAAAGGCCAATCGTAGTCTATCATAACTTTCTTGTTGACTTAAATGACATCGAAAGTCATAAAAAATCATTGCACGAAAATTTTCTCGTGTTAAATTCATGATGACATGACACAGACAATTTTCAATTTGCCGCCAAATCGTAAAACAAATGACAAATGAATGAAATATATACTCAGTAATATTGGCAAAGAGTTATATTTTCAAATTTTAGAATTATTTTTTTATTATATTGTTTATAAGTGGCCAGTTCTAAGAACTTTCAGTTTGACCCTCGTACATATATCTAAATTACTCGTTCATTCATTCAATAATCATTGTGGGTGAAATTTTCGACAGCTGGCAATACAATATCAATTACCCATTTTTTCCGTTCATTATATCGTTCGCACATATTCTGTCTTTGTTTAATTTAAAGTTTAATCGTAGATATGAGGGAGACAAATAAAATGTAGCTATTTCTATTATACAGTATAAATATTATTTGCAAAGCTACGTCCTGATTTCGGAAAAGTGCTACGCATTTTGGCGCGTCTGTTGTATGGAATTGCTTCTCTAGTTATTAAACTCATTGTTATAATTACAGTAAAATATTTTATGTATAAATATTACACCGTATTTTTCAGCATACTATTTTTTTAATATCCCAAAAAAATAAACTACCTCCTGGTTTCTGAATTAAGTATTTTTCAATCTGTATTTAAAAAAGCTTTCGTTTCTGTTTTTGTTTTTTTTTTAAAGATCAGTTGGTAGAAGTTTGATAAAACTAGGACTTTTGCTAAGTCAAAAGTAAAATATAGTATTAATATTGAGGATAATCAGTTGAGATTTTGTACTTTTCTTAATTCAGAAACGAGACTTATTTCTCTTTCTATACCTTTTATACATAGACTTGTCTATCAATCATAAATATTCTATAGACCAAGGTACAGTAGAGGTTTTGGATTTACGAATTCGTAAATGTCGTAAAAATTTAAATTTTCGAATTAAAAACAAAAGTAAATCAAAGGCATTGATATATAACACAAATAGTTCTCCTTTCACATTTGAAAAAATGTAACAACTAAAAGAAACATACCTTCGAAGACGGTCAGTGTAGCGACTGCGCTGACCGCGTCCCCGACTCCGTTTTCGGCGACGCATTCGTAAGTTGCATCGTCGCGTTGCGCCCGCACCGGTTCGATGCGTAATACTGCACCGATGGCACGGGGACCAGCCGTCGCGTCCATGCTGAACACTTGGTATCGGGATTGCATACCTATCAAATAAAAAATCAATATTAGTTTTGTAACGGCATCGCTGATACTGCTTGCTAGCATTCTGTATATCCAAACTTTTTATTAGTACGGTCTAAAATGTCTTTTATGATTACGAAATAGTGCACACCTCTATTACCGAGTAGAGCTGATTAGAATATTTTATTAATATAATTTGACTAACTACATATTGTTAGGTAATAACTGAAAAGGTTGTTGAAAAAGCCTCTTCGTTTTTGCACACTATACATATGTATGCACACTATACATATTTTTAAAAGTAAAAGTAAAAAAACTTTTTTCTCTACCTATGTATATCATTGAAATGGATACTTTTAAAATTCATCATTTAAATAACTAAAAGATTAGAATAATTAATTAAGCTCATCCACACATTTGTTCATGTGCACACTTTTGAAATAAGAAAGTGACTAATTATTTTGATTCTAAAAATTATACAAATCAAATTCGAATCGTAACAATTGTTTAAAATATCACTGTTAAAACGGTAATATATTCATATATAAAATAATTTCAAATCCAGTCTATTTCGTCATGCAACTGTGGTTTACCGTCATTATAAATAGCATATTCATTTATATTACAAAGAAAACGTTGACAAAGCAATTATTTTTTAAACAACTTAAGAAAGGACAGGAAAAAAATAAAGCCAGCTTATACTTCCGAGTGTCGGTTGATTTACCTCGCCCGAGCCACAGAAAAAGAGTCTTACAACCGTCAGTTAACATAAAATATAGCTTGTAAAACGGTGGGATATAAACGTAAAGAAATTCATTAGAAATTCTCTCAAAAAATACTCGAGAACCGCGATATTAAATGTCCTACTTCTTTTGCGAAGCATCCTTGCACTTTGCATTTTTCCCGCTCAAGATGGCGGTAAGAAAACAACACATTGTGCAGTCGACGTGACTCCTGTGTTAAGGGACTTAAGTTTAAACTGCAATCTTACAATTTTGTTATTGTGGAGTTGGAAAAGTTGTTGGAATATGGGCCGACAGAGCTTAATCGCCCCCGTGGTAAACGCCAAGAAAATGCATTTCACAACTGGTGAGAATAATCATTGTCCTTTTCTTTTACCGAAGTCTCGAAAGCATAATCCTTTCATTTTAATATATAGATAAAAGTTAAAATTTAAATTAAATATAGTATAAACACCTCATGTTATATACTATTTAAAAGAATACATCTTAAATATTGTAAAGTTATAATCCTACAAAATTCCACACCAATTTACTATCTTAATGACCTACCGTGTGCTGCTCGCACACAAATTCACATGCACAAACGGCAACATATCCCATAAAAAGCCTATCTGTACTGAATCACCCTTCTACGGATTGGATGAACGGCATTGTAAGGTCTACCAACCCCTGAGAATGCTCCGTGGAGGCAATCCTCTCTGGTAGAAGAGCGAAACTCGTGTAGCGTGGTGACTGTTGTGAGATATTTAGAGAGTTGAAAAAAATATTTTATGTAACATTTTGTGGCGGCAGCTATCTTTAATATCTGATCGTTAATGTCTTATCATCTGAACAGTTAACAATGATCGAAACATCCATAGTTATTGTCTTCCTATTCAAGATGAGTTACCAGATTTTTCTAAATTCAAAATTAATGTAGCGTTGTACTGCTTGCCTTTTTTCTACAAAAGTAGTTTGTTATGAATGTTTTAGGACACAAATAATCACACTGAGCCAAATACTGGACCATTGCGTATTGAAAAGTTACGGCATTATACTATTGTTGGGATTATCCATAGACTAGGACATCGTGGCATGTCTCTTTTGAAGGCTGACTTTCGAGGAATTAGGTTGTGTGATTAATTCAAGGTGATTGGCGTTATTTATTTTGTAATTTATTAATTCAGTGATTTGTGTATAGTCTTATTCTTATAAATAATAGTATTTACTATCAGTTTTTTTGGAGAACTGATTTCTTAAATTAAAGATCGATATGTGTATATTTGTCTAACTTTTTATTATTTGACATCACCCCATCTGGTTTTCTAAAACTAAAAAAAAAAGATTAAACCCACCAAGGCGATTTAAATAAAAAATAGATTAAATAGACCCAGTCCTAAAATGAACTAAAGTGACGTAACCATAGAATTATATTGTGTCTGAAACACAGATGATTACATATAAATCATCACGTACGATACTGGAAACAATAATAGCTATAATAAAATGTACAGGTAACACCTTCGACTAGTATGTAAACTATGTTTTAAAATAATACCAAGCAACAACTGGAAAATTTATCAAATTAATTGATTTGTTAAATATCCATGTATGGTTTACATATTAAGACAGAAGTATAATCATACATATAATTACTATTATTAAAATACTAAACTCATGTCGTTAAAATTGTTTTTATTTTGTAAAGAAGTGATGAGAGCCTTTAATTTATATTAAATGCTTCAAATATTGTAGGCACTACTTGAATTAAGTCAAGAAAATATTGAGGATTTGGTTTTTGTTAAATAAATATTGATATGATTAATCAAGAGATATTAAATTGAACTTGCAAAATGCAAGAAATGTACCAGCTTTAATAGCATATGAATACGACATAGTGAAAAATCGAGAATGAAAAAAAAAAGTATGTAAGTTAAAGGGTTCTATAACTGTTTCATAATATACACTGTGGTATTATATTGCTTTTACAAAGTTGCTATCACAAGTCGAAGGACACATTCTTTTGACAGTACACAATAATTTATCACGAAGTTATTAGAGATATAAATTACTAACGTACACGGAAGACATCTGATATCGTTGACGCTATATTATGATGTCACCGAAATGTACAAATCAAAAACCAACTTGAGCAACTTTTCTTTGGAAATGGTATTTTAAAGTAGCTTAGTAAGTGAAACATGCTACTATGATACAAAGCATGTAAGCCATTGTGAAAAATTCAAAATTAGGGAGTGGACTAACTAGGCACTACAGTAATGTCTGTGTATATCTATGTCCATTTTTTGTTTAATGCTGTATTTTATTTATTTGTTTCTTAGTTTTATTATTAAAAAGACGAATGGCATCTATAAAACTACGACATTATAACATCCAGCAGTAATTTACAATTCAAAGCGAGTAAAATTAAATACACAAGATTAAACTTCATGGTAACTTGGTAGGTGGTAGTTCCGTTGTTCGTATTATGCTACGAATCTGCTACATTGCCTCGTAGCATTACCGTAGCTGTGGCTAGAGAGAGGTTAACTGTAATCAACTAGATAGGAATATAGTAACGCCTATTTTAATATGCTATCCCGGTAATAAAATAATGTGTATATTGTGTGCCTTTTCCCGTGGAAACTGCTCATTTTATTTTGATGATTTGGCATACTTACAAGTTAGATTAAATCATAAATTAATTATATCGGTAAAAGTATCCTAGGTACAACCAAGTCCACACACATGGAAGTTAATATGTAAAAAAATACGGATACTAACCAGGTGTAGATTTCCTAATCATCGTAATTTTATATTTGCTACATTTCTTAATTGTTGACTATTAACATAGAACAGATGACACGTCATTTTAAAGTAAAAAAGAAGTGTACTTTAATACATCCCAGCTAATGACGGTATAATCTATGCTATAATTCAAAATTTTAAAGACCTTGAACGTTTAAAGTCCCAAATGGTAATGGGGGTAATCTGCTTAATCTTTGAAAAAAAATAAGCATTTTTATTTTATTACGCATCAAAAGATACAGGTATAGGCATAAATAAAGCATATAAAATACACTCATGTATGATCCAACGAAAAGTATATCTTATGTTGAAAATAATCGCTAAGAATATTGATACTCAATAAAGATCCATTACCGTAAAAGCAAATATCTGTTACATGTATCCGTATAATATGACACTGAAATATTCGAAGAATTCTTTTGCCCGTTACTCTTTACATTCAAACAAAAGACGTTCTGAACGAGTGGTGATTAAAAAACTGGCGAATTGCGAGTCGAACTCGCGCACGAAGGGTTCCGTATCGGAAACAAGCAAAAAAACACGTTTGTTGTATTGGTGGAGCGCAAAATGTTTGTTTAATTTTATTATTTATTTCCAAAGCTACAATATAAATTAGTAACCTGTAAATATTTGAAACGTCTACCTGTTGTATGGTTTTATTCGAGTGTTTAGTATTTGTTAACTTTCACGGTTCATGATATACAGCCAGGTGATAGACAGACAGTCAGCGATGTCTTAGTAAAAGGGTTCCCGTTTTACCCTTTGATTATAGAAACCTAAAAAATTATAGACGCTTTATAATTACATTAAATAAGTTAATTTAAATAAAGATATTTTAGTTCTGACTTCACACCTTGCAAGTGAATGACAGGTCACATTAGAATCCTGATTCGATTCGAAATATGTGCTTGTCACATTCGTAGCGTACCATTATGATTGATTTGCGTTTACTTGTACAGTAACGATTGTGAACTTAACCAAAATAGTCATGGTTTATTATAGTTCGTTAAATACTTTACTAAATTGGTAGTTTGACTCTTGTTAATATGACTATATTTAATAATATTTTCTGGAGTGCAGATAAATTTATACTTAAATAGCATATTTATACCCTTCATGAGTTTGTTCAAAGCTCGTTTCCCTATCATTAATAATAGTACCATTAGTAACGACAGCGTAAAAGCAGGATAACTCTTAACATTTTAGGATTCGTCGTAATTCCGTCATGTTTGGTGGTCACACTAAAAGTATATTATATAGTGGATATTTCAATAAATATATTTCACTGGTGAAGTAAAGCGAATATATTTTTAAATGTTAACATTATTTATTAAATCTTTATATATAAAAGCGAAAGGTTACACACTCATCACGAAATCTCAGAAACTATAAGTGCTAGGAGTTTCAAATTTTTCATGTGGGTTCTTTTAGGACGTAGGTAGTTTTATGAAATTCAACCACTAAGGAGGTAAATTAGGGGATGAAAGTTTTTA